TTGATGACTGTGGGTGTTTACATCAATTTATGCGCAACTCGATTAATTTCATGGGGTCACGAAATTTACAGTCGGGTATTCATCTCAGTGGCATAAGAGAACTCAAACTTGTGATTATTGGAAAGCAAACCCAAAAACCTGACCACTGATAGTCAAATTACAATTCATCTCCTTTGAATTCACTAGAAGTAAGACATATAAGAAAAATGGTAAATTAGACATGAAAGATAGAAAGAATGTTTTCGAAAAGAAAAAAAAAAGTGGTTACTTTTAAAAATAACTATTATTCATGGACCATATATACTACCTATAAATGGAATGACGAGCCCCCAGGGCACATCTCCAAGTGGTAAAAGGGGATGGTGGAGAAATCAAACTTTACTTGAGGCTGCCGCGTCAAGGGTTTGAATCCTGAAATATGGATTTGGCTCTTGGGTAAGTGCAAGTGTACAAGCAGCCTTTCACCCTATACCCTTGGAGGCATAACCTGCGATTTACCTCTCTCACGATGCTCCATGGCAGGGGCGGTGGGGGACCCTTAAGGTTGGGGTTTAACCTTTTTATAAACGGAATGACGAGTAAAGAAAACAGTTAGAGGTGAAAGTATCCAATCACGTGAAACCCTATGCTAGCTTACTCCTTAGATTATGCCCCCGTTTCTTTTAACTAAAAAAATCTATTTTTAGTAGATTTTAACAAAAGTAAAATAAAATATGTTATTGAAAAATTGATAAAAATAGATTGAAAATATAAAAGTACGTTTAAGAAAATGAATTTTAAAAAATTGGACAAAACATGAATTATAAGTTCTTTACTTCTTTCTTCTCTCAAAGAAACAATACCAAAAATAAGCATTCAATCTAAACAAAACACACATTCTCCCCCACAAATGCAAACATACCAAAATAGAGCAATATACTGTTGACCTTCGAATTAAAACCCAGTCACCATTCATGCCACCCTTTTCTCTCTTTCTTCTCATAAATTTCTCTCTTCTTCTTCTTTTTTTTTTTTTTTTTTTAATGAAATAAAAAATACCATTTCGACGTGTTTTAAGGGGAAACTATTGTTTGTTCAGAAATGACAAACGGTGGCACCACCGCCATTTCAGCCGGTGGGAGCCCCATATACGGTGGCGCTCACCGCCGCCGCGTCGTAGACTCCATAAACGATCATGAAAAATCGTCTGATGTTATACCTATTGGTTTTGAACATTCAATGAATGAGACGGATTCAGAGACAGTTAATAATCGTAATGGTGCAGGGTATCTATGTAACATTGGTGGTGGCAGCCACCATCACCACCACCCGGCAATAAGGCATTTATTGGCGCGAAAAAGGGTGCCGGAGAATTGGGTTTTTCTTGTGGAAGAATTGTGGGTTGTCATGCATTCTTTGGGATCAAGGAAGAATATGGGCCGTACGATTTTGGGTTTGCTGTTGTTGATGGTGCTAGTATCTGTGTTTCTCAGATTCTCTTTCACGGTCGTCGTCGGAGGTCTGAGGGAGTGCGGCACTCGCTGCGGAAGAACGGTGGCGATAGAGAATGGAATTTTACTTGTTCAGAATTTCAAGAATGGCTGGTCTAACGCTCAGAAAGCCATGCTTGATTCTGAAGCCTCTTCCGCCGAAGCCGTGCAAAAACGGCAGATGAAAGAATTTCCGGTGAGTTTAATCAAAATAATTAATTGACCATTATATTTGAATGATCAATGATTAAAGTAACAATGATAAACATCATTGAAACTGAATTTTTCAATAATTTCTTTCTTGAATAGTTATATTTGTTTGTTAATGGGTTTAATCATCACAATTGAAAATTAATTTATTTTCATTGGATTATAAAATCCTCATATATATACAAAGAAGATGATAACCTTTGAAGGAGTTTTTAATGGCCTAGTCAAATGCTTCATTGTTCTCCTCTAGGTTTATTCCCTTTTTGGGAAAATGAAAAGTGGATAACTCTAAGAGGGTGTTTGATACCAATTTTTATGAAAAATAAATTTTAAAATAGTAGATTGATGGAAAATGTATGAATGAATTTTTTTTGATTACGTGTAATATTATTTTAATGAAAAATATGTGGTTAAAATACATTTTGAGAAAAATTAGAATCAAACAAGGCCTAATCTTATAGTAGGGTTTTTGAAATTGCACAAATTTTCTTGAACTTTATTGTAGTAGATCAATTAAATCGCATACCTTTTATTGAAGCCAAGAGAAGGACATAATCGGACTTACATGACCTAAACTCCAATAGATGCTTCTAATTGGATCAACTCTTGGCCAATTGAAATACATCCACTAATCCCGGCTTATTTTACCAAAAAATTGAGATTACACTCTCGAGTCCAGTAATAGTTATAGAAATAAATTATGATTCAATAACAATATTTTCTGATTATCGTTCCACATGTCAATCCCCATTCGACTACCAATATGTTGATACTGGCAAAATGACCGTTTTGCCTTTCAACATGTATTACCTTCTAAGTTCTATTTTCATACAGCAAATTCCTTGTGATCAAACCACAATATAAATTCCAATGATCTCATTGTTGGACTATTGAGCTTAGATTCAATTTGTCTAGGAAAATACTTTAAAGTGACGATCGTCTCATCTCAATGATTAATGATTCCACTACTCAAAGCACCGAGATCAATCTTCTATTTAAGACTTCACTCATTAATACCTCAAAGAACTTGAACTAACACTCAGAGGTACATTACTCGCTCAAGATTTAGGTGACTTGTTTAATAATCAAGTAGGATCTCATTTTGAACGGTCACAAATGAGTCATCTATGTGGTCTCATTCAATGTGTATCGAAACACATTATTGTTTTTATGTCAAGATCTAGACAAATTTTAATAAGAGCAATGTAATCTTATCAATATAAAGCGTCAAACTTTATGTACTGATTGTAAACGATATAATTTTGATCACATCACGAATTGTATCTCATTATACCCGAACCATCGAGTATACAATTTGTGACATCCTATATGATTATGGAATCTTAGATAATCACATCAAATTATAACATGCATATAAACGAACATTAATTTATAATGTAATTTTACATAACACTACTCGAAGAAAGGGCATCAAACTAACAATATTTTTCTTCTATTTTTTCTCGAACTATATATTTAAATGTGTGGCCGTACTTGAGATTTTTTTTCCAACTAAATTTCTACAATATTTGAAAGTTGAAAAGAATCTAATTTCAAAAATTACGCTTCTTGTACACCACCTGATGACAGCAGTGTTGACAGCTCGCCTATGTGTAGAAATTTTGGCCATTGACTGAAAAAATTGTTTTTAATGTATAAACTCACATTATGTCTAAGAAGCTATCAAACTTGATGTACATAATTGTTTAATTTCTGCAATTTTTTTGTGATTTTGAGCATTTGCAAATGTAGACTTTTTCTTCAGTCCATAGTGGACAAGATAAACTTGCCTGGTGGGTCAAGTGGGCTTTTTTTTTTTTTTTTACAAAGAAAAAAAAAGAAGGATTTGACCTGCCGAAGTGGCAACCGCGGGCAGGCAACATAACTTGGGCAGGAGATGATTCTATTTGAAAATATGTTAGCAAAGACCCTTTTCTTTTTTCTCAAATTTCGTCTGGTGGGTAGTCTTATTGAATGTAATCCAGTGAGAATACAACTTACTTTCGGATTTTTTCGACAGGTCCCAGAAATATGGATGAAACCGAACAGCGAGAACTATTACCAATGCGTTACTCGACCAAGAAATCGCATAAGTATGTCTATGATCTATGCTCCCTGAATCTGGGAGTTGCTACTGGACATTTTGTTTGATACACATTATTGTTTTGAAATCTTTCAGGGTCGGGATCAGCAACGAATGGTTATATCCTGGTTCATGCGAATGGGGGACTGAATCAGATGAGAACCGGAGTGAGTTAATGCCATGCTCATTTTAGATCATTTTCTTCATTTGGAGTCGATCAAATCCATAATATTTTGCTGAAAATCGACTTATGGGATTCAATCAGATATGCGACATGGTTGCTGTTGCGAAAATTATGAATGCCTCTCTCGTCCTTCCTTCACTTGATCACGAGTCCTTTTGGACTGATCCTAGGTACAGTTTTCTGTATTGATGCTTATCGAGACTATGTTTCTTTTTAATTTTGGTCTTTCCTAAGCTTATGCTATTTTCGCAGTGGTTTTAAAGATATTTTTGACTGGAGACATTTCATTGAAGTTTTAAGAGATGATATTGAGATAGTTGAATCTCTGCCACAAGAATATGCAGCAATAAATCCCCTGATTAAGGCCCCCGTCTCTTGGTCGAAGGTTGAGAAACTATTAAATCATCTTACCGACAAGTTACTTCAGTTGGAAATACACCTAATTTTATATTCTTTGTTTACAGGCTAGTTACTATAGAGGAGAGATTCTCCCTTTGTTAAAGAAGCACAAAGTAATTAAGTTTACCCATACGGACTCGAGACTTGTCAATAATGGCCTCGCGCCGTCTATTCAGAAACTCAGGTGTCGAGCAAATTATGAAGCTCTCCGCTACACACCTGAGATTGAGAAGCTCGGAAAGAAACTGGTGGATCGACTTAGAGACAATGGCGGACCATTTATTGCTTTGCACTTGAGGTATTATTGTAGCAAACAAATTCAATAGAAGTGGTGAAAGACAAAATCAAATCGTAACATAATTAGAAGCCACTCAATTAATCTTTGTAATATTTGTTTCATCAGGTATGAGAAAGACATGCTCGCATTTACCGGCTGCAGCCATAACTTGAACTCGGACGAGGCTGAGGAACTTCGTGTCATGAGGTACAAAGTTAAGCACTGGAAAGAGAAAGAGATAGACAGCAAAGAGAAGAGACTGCAAGGCTTGTGCCCAATGTCTCCCCGGGAGGCAGCCCTATTTCTCCGCGCCATGGGATATTCTGCCGCAACAAGAATATACATTGTTGCAGGGGAAATTTATGGCAACAATAGCATGGACGCATTTCGATCAGAATATCCAAATGTTTACAGTCATTCGACGCTGGCAACAGACGAAGAAATCAAAGTGTTTAAGCATTATCAGAACCGACTTGCTGCCGTAGATTATATTGTAGCCTTAGAAAGTGATTTGTTCGTTTACACGTATGACGGAAATATGGCAAAGGCTGTGCAAGGACATAGGAGGTTTGAAGGATTTCGAAGGACAATAAATCCTGACAGGTTTCTTTATTCTCTCATCTCTTTGTCCTTTACGAGTGGCTTTTTTTTTTTTTTTTTGTCGAAAACTCATTTCTTTGAATTATATCATGTTACAGGTTAAATTTCGTTCGACTGATAGATTTGTTGGATAAAGGTTCCATTTCTTGGGAGGATTTCGCTTCAGAGGTCAAGAACTTACACTCCAACAGGATTGGGGCACCATATCCTCGAGAAAGAGGCGAATCCCCTCGACTGGAGGAGAACTTTTATGCAAATCCTTTTCCGGGCTGTGTTTGTGACAGATCTCAGGAACAAACGATTCAGAAACAACTTGACACGAAAACAATCTAAGAATAGCTTCACAGCACTAGTTTGTTCATTTAGTTGGCGTAGGTCGAACAATGGAAACGTTGGTTACACGATCCAATGCACAATGCTTCGGTGATAGTTGACATCAGATGTTGCAAGAACTGGAGCTTCAGGTTCAAATTGTTAGCAGAAAACAAGGAAGATATGGGCCATTGCAGGTTTCATTGCTACTGAGTACTCCGGAAGAATAGATTTTTTAGTACAGATTCTTTAATTCGCTCTATTTATTGGATTGTAGCATATTATGGGGCCGGCTAAAGAATTCTTTTTCATACTTAATTCAAAGATAAAATCAGTCAACCCTTACATCAATTGGAAGTGGGATGAAAGTTATGTTTGATGCTGAACAAGCATTATTCGAAAATTTAAAATTTCTGTAATTCAAGAATGTAAGATCATTACTAGACGTTTATGCGTATGTTATAATCAAAAAATAAAATTTTAAAATTTACTAAACTTCGATAATTAAAATTTTGATCAAATATGAATCACGGATTTTCAATCTTTAATTTCAAGAACTTGACACTCACCTTAAAAATTCTCTATAATAATTTTATAAAGGTCAAGATTGCATAGGCCTGTAAGCACCTTATTTTAGTTAAACAAAAAACCAAATTCTAGACTTCACAAACGGAGAAAAATCAAGCAAACAATTTTTCAATTTTTTCTCTCTTCAAGTCCAAGTCAAATTAGGAGTTAAATGGTTTAGTTACCACTATAATTAAGTCCAAAACTTTTAAATGAATTGCAATCGAGTCCAAAACATTTTCAACCTACCAGAAGAACCTATTCGAACATATATTATTTAAGCCTAAGTAATTAGATATCTCTGAACGACCTTAGATCAATCAATCTTATCATTATTATTATTATTATTATTTATTTTGTAATACTACCAAAAGAACCTATTCGAACATATATTATTTAAGCCCAAGTAATTAGATATCTCTGAACGCCATAGATCAATAAAAAATCGTGGATGTAAATAGAGCTACCCAATAAAATTAGGTATTGAAATAAATAATAAGTTCAATTCGCATACTCAATATATCAAATAAACACAAAGTAAACAAAAAATACAATTTATTCATTATCAAAATGTCATTTTAAATATGCAAAATTATACTTTATGAATACACAACCATCATCAAGCTATAAGAACTAGCTAACATAAGCATTAAATAATTCGAACCCAGTAAACATCTCCAGACTAATATCAAAATCACTCACTCAATCGGAATGAAAACCTCATTAGTCCTGAATGGAGGCAAAGTCCAAGGAGGATTATACCTAGCCAAAACAAAATCCCCACTCACCTTGTACCCATCTCTTGCCAACCATTTCTTCAAATTCTCCACCTTCTCCGCCACAACCTTATCACTAGCCACCCAACTGAACCGCACCACCCCGTATTTCCTCTCTCCCTCCTCCCTTATCACCACCCGTTCATCCACCGGCCGTGGCGCCTCCTCTGCCGTGGTGTATTTTGACGGCAATATAAACTGCATAGTCATCAATTTATCATTTCCAGCTGTTTTGGTCACTACAGGGGCTGTCATGGCTATTTTTTCTGATTCCTTGGTTATCACCGGAGCGGTCATGGCGATTTTTTCAGGTTTAGTGTTCTGCGGGTTGCCGAATGCTCCTATGTAATTGGCTAATACGGTGAAACCCCCATCTTTGTC